ACACCCACACCCACCCACACACCCACACCCACACCCACCCACACCCCACCCACACCCACACCCACACCCACACCCCACACTGAATCTTAACACATTTTATGTAAACGACAGTAATTTTTAGGAAGGTTATTCAATATACAAATGTATACACTTACATATTAAGAAAATACTCGAACAATAAAAATCATATACATTTAAATTGAAACTTAAATTCAATTATTGATGTCGCTTCAGATATTCAACTATGCACGAAATATATTCATATCCGAGCAAGGTTTTAGCGAAAAAAACTACAGGAAAAACAAACAAGTTATAACTTTTATTAAATAAGAAGACATGAATAAATATAACATGAGAAAATAGAGAGAGAGAAAAAAAAGAAATATATTGATTATTTTAATGAGTTTCAGTTGCAGATTTTTCTTCAATATTTATGGTAAAAAATCATTTAAAAATTGAAATAAAGTCAATAATTGATCATCATTATTTGTTGCTTCTACTAGACCTAAACATGAATGTCGAGCATGTTTCATTAAATAATAAACACGATTAGCATCTTTGATCATAGATAATATACGAATATATAACTCTTCGAAGTTATTTAATTCTATTCAAATAAAAAAATTCATTATGATAATAGTTAAAGATATTCAAGCAATATATTACCAATACGAGAACAATAATATTTCTTTAAGAATTCTTTGCACATAGTAATACTTTCTTCTGATATTGTCTCAATATCTTGATAACTTTCAGAAACATTAGAGTTAGATGAAAGAGAAGATAAAGATATATTTAATTGTGAAAACGACGAATCATCTAAAGAAACAAAAATAAAGCCTGAATGGAAGAAACATAAAATATTACCTGAAGATGCCAATTGCTTATCTTTGTAATTTAAGTTATCTTTTAATTTGATATCGACATTTTGAACAGAAACATTTGATTCATTCAAAATTTTTTTAAGCTCTAAAAGAAATAGAATTTTTAATAATATTCAATGATAATTGAATTACCATTTTCGTAAAGATGCAATCCAATATTTTGTAAACAAGTAGTACACTTATCATCTTTGCGAAGAAAATAGTTGTATAATAATAATTCAATAGATAATTTACATTTAAGAGTCTGCAAAAAACGATATATATATATATGCCGTAGGACAGATTGAAATGCAGTTGAGTTTAAAATTGTCCTAGTTCAGATCGAAATTTTGATTTAAACTAGGACAAAATAAAATTTTGATTTGAACTAGTTGAGATTAAAACGATTGCCAAGTGAACTAGTTCAGATTAAAATTTTG